CGATCCCGCGAGCGAGATTCGAACCCAGGGCCTTCGGTCTCGCGCTCGAACGCTTAGCCAACTGGACCACTGAGGCCGCATCCAATGGTGATAGTTTCTAACATCAACCAATCCACGAAATTGCGCGACCAACTTCCATTGTACTGAGGTAGATAACTGTCTCTACCCGACAAGAATTAGCTCCACTGGTCACGGTCTAACATCAATTAGTTCATGATCTCAATCAAAAACTTAATAATCTCCACAACTCCCATACTAGTAATTTTATTCAAAATCAAAATATAATCAAATTTACTGATATTTTCGAAATATTTTTGTCTGTTGATAAGATAAATATAGAGAAACACTTACAATCAAAAATAATCTAACTTGATAAACATAAACTCCAACACTAAAATGTAATAAATATTATTATTCAATAGACAAATGAGAGATATTATTAATCAAAGATTTATAATCATAACATAGAGATAAATCACATGCTTGTTTAGTGATTAAAAGGATACATGAATTAGTTTGAATAGTATTATAGTTTGTTTTGTTTTTTTAAAAATAATGAATTTAATTGTTAATTGAGCTATAAATGAAATCATAGTAATTCCATTTAAATATAATGAGAGATTAGCTATCATTATTAGTTTTTAATAGATTACTATTTAGTTCTGACAAATAAAAAATTGACAATAGAATGAATGATATAATAATTAAAGAGATTTGAAGTAACCTATCCAAAGCCCAATTGTACTCCTGTTAAATTCTTTTTTTTAATTACACTGAAGACAAGATACGTCATAGCAACAAGACTTATGAATAACGTTTTGTGATATAACTAAAAGTTTAGAAAAAAAAGGAATATTTGCGAACTGTTAACCGTCATTTAATCATATATATATCGACATAAAACTAGATAATTTACAATGTTTTAAGTGTGTAATGAAGTTTTCGTAGACTAAACACTAGTGTACATATGGGGGTGGATAGGATATACTCTACATAAACCAATGAACTACATCATAAGTCAGGTCATAATTTAGAATCTTCAGGGTGGAAGAAAAGGCACAAGACCAAATAATACATGGCGACAGGAATCGGAAATAGATATTAAGACCAAAAACACTACTTGGTAACAAGTGAAAGAAGAGCCCAGGATAGAAGCAGTCTCAAAATGAGTAGTCGACTTCATTACGTAAATACAGGGTGACAGTCACAATTATTAGTCACTTACAAATATACATTATAACTTATCAGTGTAGGGGTTGAGGAGATTATTAAGTTTTTGATTGAGATCATGAACCGATTGATGTTAAACCACCGTTGTAAACCTTGAATTGCAACAACCCTTATACTGATAATTAACATGTGCTCACTAGTGACTAGCTTCGTGAGGGGGTTCTCAAAGTTCTAGTGAGAAGTCATGACCAGTGCAGCTAATCCGTGTCGGGTAGAAACAGGTATCTACCTGAGTACATTCGAAGATGGTCGCTCAATTTCGTGGACTGGTTGATGTTAGACACTAACACCATTGGGTGCCGGCTCAGTGGTCTAGTAGGTTAGGCGTTCGCGCGCGAGACTGGAGGCCTTGGATTCGAATCCCGCAAGCGGGATCATGGATGCGCACTGTTGAGGAGTCCCACAATGGGAATTATAACTTATTATTGTTCGTCACATCAACTTCATAGTCCATGTTATTTCTAGTACCGATACTCTAGACAAAAATGATAACAATGATGAGTAATGATTTTCATTATCTTTTGTTATGCTTACTACTTTCATTTCTTATTGAAATTGTTTATTTACTCATATTTTTATATCTATTTACCTACTAACTCACTACTACCTTCCCTTTTAGAAATGAAGTTTTTATTTTTTTTAAAAGACATGAAGAGTTTTGAAAAGCAAACACCGATAAAGAACTTTCTAAAATTCAGTCATGTGTTTAAAAGTAACAGAAGAGGATAAGAATCAAAAACGAGTATCTTTTTACATACAAAAAAGGAAGGCAGAAAAGTTAGAAGATGAAGAAGATCAAGATACTTAATAATGATAACAATCAATCTTCTCAGTCAAGCAATACATCTTAAAATGAATCCAAGCAAATGACAGCAGGCTGACCAATTCGTTCATACATTTTTTGTACCCAAGTGGTTAAACAGTTTTACTAATTCCTCTACTTATCTATCTACCTCTAAATGAAATTAAACTTCAGTGAAAAATCACTGTAAACGTTAACTAGTAGAAAATATCAAGTTATACTTTTATGACACCCCTTTGTTGAATTAGTCGACTAATCTGTTGTGGTATCTTTTTATAATTTACAGGTATGCATATGTTTACTTTTTTCTAACCACGTATTTAGTCAAATAAGATGGTATGAGTCTGTAAATGCTCAAGTAAGTAGTTATATATATATGATGTTTGCTCTAATACAACAGATGGAATGACAGTACTGAACAGGCAGATTAAAAAGAAAGCTAACGATTGAAAAATAAGATTTTTCTAGACCGATGAAACAACCAAACATTTTACGTAAAACTCAAAAATATCACGATTCATCGAGATTATTTTAAATTATTTTTTACACTAGAAAAACAATTGAGATCAAACTTTCTTGAAATCTTATCGAATATAACCATAACGATGTGCATACGAACAACATACATCTTTCATTCAACCTAACAGAACACCGTACAATCTTACGTTATCCTATCTATATTAACAGAAAGGACAATCTCTAAAGCCACTGGTTTAAACCCTACTCATGTCTAAATTTCCTTGAAGCATCAGAAAGTCCTGCCTCTTAAACACAGATTAACTCACCCATCCTCCAGAATTTGTGTAAGATTATTGATAAAATATGCAGTCATTATCATTCTGAAAATGTAATGGGTTAATATGAATAATTAATAAGTGATAAGAAAATTCGACTGACTATGTATCTAAAAAACTATCCAAACAATCTCCCCCAAAGGCATTTTAATCATACATGGTAATGGATTATTAAAGCCATAAAAATATATTATGGAATGAAAAAGCAACTAATTTCAGTAGTCTTCAAGACCACTTTAGAGATTTTCTTGAAAAAGTGATCACTGAGTAGAATAAAAACCAATTACCTATCACATTGTTTACCTTCGTTTCTATATCACTCTTTTTTATCATTCTATCACGCAACTCAAATGACTTTCGCATCATAAATCTCGTAAATCACTAAGATACCTTCTTACTCAGCGGCAATAATAACCAAAATCATTACACCTCATTTATAAGTTAATGTTGCTAAGTGATGAATCTTTATGTTGTGCAACGACTTATTTGTGCCAATATTAATTATAACAGTCGAAATACCTTCAATTATTTTTAATCTCATCGTAAAACTAAGATGCTTATGAAGGCTTATTGCACTATTTTGATAAAGTTGTGAGAAATTGTTCTGAATAGACAATGTACTATGAGCAAAAGAATTATTAAAACTTATTGTCCAATATGATATAAAAACGGATACTCGACGGTAGATTAACGAAAGTAAGTGACCATAATGGCTTGTAAAAACTAGTAAATATTCAGGTGAAATTCAAAAATGATGATGGGTTGGAAATGCGATCCAGGGAACGATAGAAAACCTTATTATACAGTAAACTACTAACAGATAACATAACAATCTGCGCTATTATGAATTAAGTATATCGACTAACATTAACAGTATTGACAAATATCTCGTAGGAAATGTTATACATGATTTCCTCTTATGCTTAATGTACTACTTGGATAGGACTGTAAATAATTTAATGACCCTTCGGATTATATTCATAATAATAATGACTAGCAGTCAATAAATATTATTAAAAATGTTTATGTTGGCTGATTGGATGAATTTTGGTGCATATAAGGATAATGACGAAATGCAATATTTAATTAAATTCTATTCCTTTCCGCGTTATTTTTGGTTCTTTTGTATAATTTATATGACCGTCACTTCAGCTTCTTCGATTTTCTTTCAACATCCTGATGTGAAGTTTAGAGACGGAATTTCTTTCGTTTTCTGTGACCGAATAAGCAAATGAATATCCTTCAAAATAAAGTCCCTAGTAAATTCAGGTCAAAAAATTGTATCTCACAGTTTATAGGGATTTTAAATATCTGCAGGGGACTCAGGATTACGTCATTACGTAAGTCTGGAGAATTTGATTTATTGTCATTACTAAAAGGTGACAACTACTTATATTGCTTATGCTTTATTAACAAAATAATCGAGTGGTAAACCGTTTCACGTAGGGGTAACACGGTAATCCATAAAGCAATGGAATCGGTTGGAGCAGTACACAACCTAACATGGATAAAATTACTTACAAACAAAAAGCATTTGAATTAGGTGATTCCTTAATTTTTGCATAAGGTGAAAAACAGTGACAACAGTGAAATAACAATTAATAATAATGTAGACAAAGTAGACGATTAAAACTGAACAAGCCGACTTAATACATTAAGTAGCAACCTGGACTTGTTAATTGTCGGTACCTTTGTTATGAAGATTTAACTTTTGATTACCTTATAACTAGAAACCTTTATTTTGTAGATGACTCAAATGGATTTTTTGGGAAACTTTGTGAAAAGATACTCAAAAACATAGCTACTAATTCGTATACATTTTCATCAAGAGATCCAGATAGTACAATACTCGGAAGTGTGTTCGGGATGAGCAGGTCGCAGATAACTAACCACACAAATGTAAATAAACTATAAGACAAAAAATTGAGATAGCCCAAACAACAGCTTATGCTTGATCCCTTAAGGAATGAAATGGCCAGCAAAATATCAGATACCACGCTTAACAACTAAACTAGATAAGTCAACTTATTCTGAAAGCCAGAACTTACTGAATAGGAAGACGAATTTAGTCGACACAAATTCCGTCCTAGTTACTATAAGAGCAGCTTTGATTGTAAATACATATTTTAGCAGATTCTCAATTAATCAACGAACAAAATGTAAAGCAAACAGATGATTAGAAAAGATATTTATTATATTTATAGCTGTACAAGGGTTTAAAGTAAAACTAGTTATTTATGATTAACTGATAATTAACCGTCATGTCCATTCAATTCTCTCCACCTACCACGACGTAGGCGACGCTGCATTTCCTGTTTGACCCACCAACTTGGCATTTTCGAGGGAATCGGAACAGCAGCTGGGTATTCATATATTTTACGACGAGGTTCTTCTGGATCAAGAGGATTACCTTCATTTGATAATCGTTCGTGGACTATCTCTTCGTATAACTCTTTGCGATCTCGATAACGATCTAAGTATACATCAAAAGATACATCACTGTGCACACCATATCTTTCTCTTATCAGAGGAATACCATGAGGGTGACGACGAGGTTTAGTCCATGTATCAGCGACTGGAAATTTCTGTTGAGGTGGCAAACGAGCATCCGGGAATTGAATTTCAAAGACTGGTTCTGGTGAGTCTGCAAGTTAGAAGTGAAAAGCTTAAAAATTTAGAAAACCAAGTTGTGTTACTGAAACTGGTTAAGTAGTTTAATCCCCATAGAAATAAATATGAAGGCGAAAACTGAAATTTTGAATAACTACGTATGGGTGGATATGATTTCAGATCTAAAGCACCGATATAACATAGTATAGTATATATCATCCAAACGGCAGAAATATAATATTCCATTTCCCAAGTGTGCAGATTTAACACCTGCTCTATAGTATTTACCTAACCATTACAGACAAAATGTTACATTCCTGATCGGATCGGGAGTGGAAAGTTGAAAAACCAACAATCAGCTTCTGTTCTAAAGTATAAATGTATTTCACTAATCCTTGAATATAAAAACATAATAGTTAGGATAATAAGTATCTGTTGTTTATACAATGCTGGACCTACAGATTACTGATTTAGTCAGTCAAATTCAAGCAGCTAGACTACACATTTGAACTACAGTTCAAGTACCCATTTTTCTGTGGCCAGGTGTCATTAATGATTACCCAATAAACATGATTTCTAGTCAGGTTTATGAAAATCCAAACTAATTTTCTGAGCTACATTTTCAAACTAATCGCCAAATATACTATTAGTAAGAGTTTGTAATACTCTGTTGTTTATAATCGGGATTGAACTTGGATCGGTCTTCGTTGGTATATGTGCATCATGAGAGGATTGTCTTGACATTGGCTATTGTATAACAAGTTCTACCGTAGTGAACGAAAACACACGTGGGGACAGTCAAATGTATTTGAACACAAAATTACAGAAAGTCTTATTAAAATCTGAGAACCATACAGTAAATACTTCATTTGCAAAACATCAGTCAACTGTCTCACACTTCATTGTTCCTTAGTTTCCACATCAATCATTCTCTATTCTCGTTCTCTTTTCTTTGGTCTTCTTAGCAATCTGCCGCTAGGCATTTCACTTTTGATCGACGATACATACTATTTATATCCATCGACATCAGTAGCACTACCACACTCTAACATACGAGTATGACGAACAGTAAAATGCCGGATTTGTCGGCTGAACGGTTAAATATGCAAAGAATACACAAAGGGATAATTCAGCTTACCAAGTTTATGGCGAAAATAAGATCTCACACTTTCATCCCAAATTGACTGAAAAAATGCTAAACCAGCAGGAGTAATTTCATCTTCTAAACTTCGATAAAATTCTAGTGTGCTGAAGCTGCGTTCAGACTGAACATCACTGACAGTTAAAATGAAAAATTTAAACAAAAAAGGTGCAATTAGTTCAATTGTTCGAAAAACCGATACTGTGTCAAGTTATCTGTTATAAAGTCAAGCATAGGCACCAGAAAAAACAACGAATTAGACTACAATTTATTCAACTTCGAGCATATGGATATCGTCTTACTATATAGTGGCATATGGTTCGCTCAAACAGCACTTTATTGGTTTGTTGGTGAGTCCTTGTAAGTATGATATGATAAGATCAGAAATCAAAGTACCTCTACAAGATTTCCAATGGTCTCTGCTTGCACTCAATATTGGTCTACGCAAGTAATAGAAATGTTCGTGTATTTAGCTAGTTTGTGAGTGCTGTTTGTGGTATGGCAGAAGAAAGAATAGGAAAATACTGATGAAAATAGATAGTGGATGTAATATATTGAGGATTGAATGGAGGTGATAAGTGTCAAACGATAGATTCCGACTCAGTAATATCTCGTTCCTCGCAACCTCCCCCCAAGGTCCTTAATTTGGTCTTGTGTAACGTTACAACCGTATACTACCAAGGGGTTTTAAACCAAATCCTCCATGCTTTCAATGATACATGGTCTGAAATCAACTTGTAATGAAAACTATCACAAATCAAAAACTTAAATGTGTGAATAAACATAAGTATCAATTTAAGTCATACCTTTAAAATAACAGGCTGATGGTTATTTTCACGATAAGTTAAAAACCATTTAGGAGAGTACTTCAATAACCTAACACTGTTATGAGTTCAGATTTTATCCCACTTTTTATTCTGTAAACTTCTCTGCTTATATGTTTAAGTTCCTAGCAGTAATCCCGAGTACCGAATAGTCAGAGGTCGCTTGGTCACCTCTTTTTTATGTTGAAGCGGATTACATTCAACAGCTTAATCTAATACATTTTTAGCCACCTGAACTACTTTTCAGACCTAAATAGTTTGTCTTCCACTTTTTACAGTGGTTGTGGACTGATATTTACTACTTGTTCGTCGTACGGAAAATACTTCATCATTCTTCTCTCCCAACTTCGATGATCACAACTTCTTCACACCTACCAAAATGTACCGATTATACTCCATGAGATATTTCAATTTCTTTCCGCTAAACTACATAACAATTTTTGCTTTCCACCATTATGAGAAAATAAGCCATAAGATATTTAATTTTCACGAATATTAATCATGTAATTAAATGAATGCTAATAATAACTATAACAGCTTGTAAATAAAAAGGAGTCATATTTTAAACATACCATCCACTAGGATTTCCTTTTCTCCACTGATTTAAATCAATTTTCCCACGGTCTTGTCGATAAAGAACAAATATATACCGATGATAACCAGTTCCTTGGTACGGTATAGGTGGCATATATGGAATAATCTCATCCCCAATAACACCAACACCTTCTGGTGTGGACTGTAGATTTGTCCTATATATTGGAAATTCACAACAACAACAAAGACACACGAAGCGTCAGATGATATTTATATAGCTGTGTTTAACAGGTGATCTTTACAATTCAATGGAGAATAACTTTTGTAAATATAATGAAATATCACATGACTTTCATAGATAAATATGATTAACGTTATCAGATAGTGACTGAGAATGGTACTACGTAGGATTTTTTAGCCAACTTTTCTAAACTTGGAAATGAAACTAACTATACATTTGACGAGTACGTACATTCAAATGGTAAGTGTTTAAACTGACAAATGATTCTAACTCATGAGGATGGTTACAAATGTGGAACAACATTTTGTCGCTTTTGAAGACTGCTAACTAAAAGCAATTAAACCCCTTATTCCCTGAATTGATATTATCACTAGCTAACTCAATATATATTACGGAACCAATATTACACCTACAAAGCCTTCGAGAACAAAATTTAAGGACGAATATTGTTGATAATATCCAGTAGAAAAATCAAGAACGTAAGTGTACTGTGATGGATTCTTTTGAACCAAAAGGTGCTCGGAAAATTATTTTGTGGGACATCATGACAGAAAACAACACCAACTCAAATGCAAGACAACGAAGTTCGTTCAGTATTTGAAGTATGGTAAACAGAGCCAATACATATTTGTTTTAACTTCCACAATGTTGTCTACTTGAATGAACAGTGAAAGAATCTAATGTCAAAGGTGGAAGGCACAACACCCAAATGTATATTCTGACTATCTAAGCAATACATTATGAGTAGAGTACTACACGTTTAAAATCAGACAACCTGCAAGATTACCTGATTAATTATTCTAAAAAGCACAAATACATCAATACAACGTTTGTAACTAGTCGTCACAACCTCACTTCAATCTAATTATGACTATGGAATGAGAAAGAACCTGTAAATAATCAAGAAGACACTAGTGTAAAGGTAAGTTGGAGCATTATCAAACAGCTTTTTGATTTATTAGCAAAGACCAATCGAGTAAATATACAATCTCACCAATGACAACCACTAAATATCAGTGTAAAAAAGATCTTAACAAATAAGAGTTATCAGAAATAAAGTAACTTACATCATCCAGTGAATATATTCATTAGATGGTTCACAACTATCGCTGCCAATGGGTTCGTCCGGACAGGTCATCAACAAAGTCCAGTAGAAATTGTTTGGTGCTGTAGACAAGTTAATGAATGGAGGATTCTACAAAAAAAGTTTTGAAAAACAATTCCAGTTTGGATATATTTTCCTCCAAAGTTATCAAGAGAAAAGACCTGAGAATAAATGCTAATCCACTATCCTCAATTTTGAGAGAAACGAAGTGAAATGTAGTCAAACTATTAAAATGCATTGAAGTGAAGTATCCCAATTTGATTTTACATACAATGGATTCAACTTTTAAATAAAACAAAAGTAAACAACATTCATTTTTAGATGAACATGTATTTAGCCTCCCTTGAATATCACATGGAAACTATACAATTAACTTAAGGCCACTAATTGACAAAGAATGGATTAACGAGATCAGGTTTTAGACGAAATTACAGAATAAGCTTATTATCTGAATACTGTAAATGATGCAGACGAAGAGAAATCTCAACTGCGACCTAACTACTGAGAGTCAAATGCTTAGCTTAATGAGGCAGTGTTCTAACTAGCAATGGATGGCATACATATTTGTCTGTTAACGGCTAAAGCAATTTTAATTATTCTGATACTAGACACCACTGAAAATAAAATTTTCTTCGCTGAACTACCTCAAATTCAGAATCTGTTATTTGTAAACTCATAGTAGCGATGAGCATAACTCAATGACACAGTACATATTTTATTTACTCGCCTTCGATTCACAATTTATGAGAGGGCTAGAAACTGAACACTCATGGCTTTGATAGATTGTTTGTTCGTTAAAAACGGCAGTAAAGCTTACCAAACAGAGCTCTAAAGTAAACTCGGAAAAAATAGGTTAACTCCGGGCCAAGATTCAGATCTATTAATCAAATATTCACCACGTTTTGAGACACATCCATAGTTATCGACGCTCGACCATAATTGCATTTCTTTACCTGAAACCGGCATTCAAATCTGCTAACCTAGAGGTTTTATAGTAGTGTTTGTCACCATAAGATGTGTCGAAGAAATACGTAAATTTTCTGGATGTTCATCGTAAGAATGTGATCGATAAAATTATAGCATATGGATAATTTTCAAACTCCAGTGGTTTCTATTCACTTGGTGTTGTTTGCTTGTATCTTCCGATTGTTGTTTAGGACTGAAATTGATCAGTCTCTTATTGGCATATATGCATTCTGTGCGGATTTCCTCGATATTGTCTGAAGTCACAAGCTTTTTAAGCAAAGATGGATAGTGGCTAGTAGTTGAATCCAGGGCACGCGTTTCGTCCTATTTACTCAAAAAGCTTGTAACTTCAGGCAATATCAAGGCAATCCGCACAGAATGCATATATGCCAATAAGAGACTGATCAATTTCAGTCCTAAACAACAATGAGAAGATACAAGTAAAACAAAACCAAGTGAATTCAAACTTCACCCCATTGCATAAGCAGGTGGTTATCCGAACTCGCTAGCTAAGCGGATAAACGCGATGGCGTTTGAAGCGAATGGTACTGGGTTGGAGTCCCGGAGTGAACATTAACTCTGGTATCCAGGCACACCCGACCGACGAGTCCCAGGCTGGACTAAAAGATCATCCTGGATTCCACTGCTAGGTCCCCAAATGCCCTGGTATGGTCGAGAGTAGGGTGGGCCCTCCCTCCCTCTCCAAATGCTCTCACATGGCCACGCGTATACAGGCTCTGCCAGGGAAGTCCTACTCACTGCCTTCTCGTGGCGGGGGTCTTGTTTACGAAAATGAGAGGACGAAAAGCGAATGTCCGGCACTTTAACCGGATCCCAAACCAATGGTGCACATGGGCTCCAGTATCCTGCGGGAACAAATGGCGTATGAACCAATCGTTGGTCACCGGCTACCGTGGGACTGCATCTAATGACGTTGCTCCAGTGCCTTGTGGATCAGACCTTCAGGTCGAAGGCTCGGGGTGTGGCCACCTAAGGAAACCACCTGCTTCTGTCCGGGCACCCGGGCAGTACCACAGCCCACACACAAATCAAGTGACTTGTGTGGTGCATATGTATTTGGTGCCCCTTTGTACTAATATTTATGTGTTGAAATAAATAAATAAAATCTATCAAGTGGTTTGTGTTAAAGTTTCACACCAACCTCACTTTTACTTAGTTCCATCATAAATTTCCCTCTGTAGATTATACTTCACCCAACTGCTCAGGAACTGATTTCCTCGCTGAAAAAGTACTCATAGACATCAAGTACGCAGACGGTATGTTGTTCTAGTGACGATACTGACATAATGCAGTAACCGGGAAGCAAATGATGAAATGGGGTGATTCAAGCATGTTCAGGATGCACATGTCTCTCTCTAGATGCACAGTGTAGCTTGAGAATTAGTCTGGACTATCACCTAGGGTGACTACTCAAAGTAGATTAGTTGAGCGTGCTTACTACCTCTCACTCATCTTTGAAGCCTCTCAGCCCTGGTAGTTTAGTAGCTGACAAACGTTAGGCACATTCAGGAAGCTAGCTTGGAATTCTTCGTCAACTTGTTTGGTCTGTATGTGACCAAACAGTAATATTAGAATATTTGGGTTCATGAACTCTGTTTACAAAACGATTATTTTATACCTGCGTTAATCTTTAGAACATTATCAATGGTCAATCTGAATAAGAAATAAGAATCAGCAATTACAAACTACTGAAATATAGAAATGGACTCCTAACCTTATGGATTATAAAAACTCCAAATGAAACGTTAAAGTACCAAACATCAGACTAAAAGTGGGTACAACAGAGTGTAACTAACTAACTAACCATAGCTATATTGGCAGATATTAGATTTCCACTAAACACAGGTTGTACATATGTAGTTGACTTGTCATCATTACATTTACCTTCATCCGAAATACCAGGCTTATCATCTGGTTTTAAATACTCAACTTCAAAATTCACAACAGGAACGAAGATATGAGGTGGTCCAAAAAGTGAATTGAAGATGCCGTAATGCTGCGCAATATTTAGCAGACGAACTGGGGCTTTAGTATCTTCACTCGGTGAGTGAATTACGTCAAGCGGGACTTGTAGTGTTCTTTTACGGGCTTGAGGTTCCAGATCCAATCTCTTCAAAAACGCTGTTGATTCTTTAGGGAAAACATACGGTAATCCAATGTCAAGGGGTTCCAATGATGAAAGATCGTTTGGTTTCACAGCTAATTCTAAATATCATGAGGAAAAAAGTATGAGTAAACACTGTTCTGGGGAAATTTCAGTTCCTAACGGCTAAATTAGTAACTATACGGAGAACCGTCCTCTATGTTTTAAAGTAAGTTTATCGTATGTAAACTGAAGACAACACCCAAGCAAACTAAGCAAATCAAACCGACTTAAACCAGATGAACCAGTAGTTTGTAACGGGACCTTTAGGTCACTAAGCAACAATTAAGAATTCCTACTGTGTAATCTCTTGCTTTTCTCTGAATAACTACTGGTCGGATTGTGGGATATCCACAAATAACAGTGAAATTTATGACATATCAGCTAATATCTAACAAGTAACATCAACCTGCAGTTTGTGTTTTTTCGTCTCAGTATTTCCCCATTTTGTCAATTTCTTGTTCAGTGGTTATATAGAGTGGAATTTTGAAATAAATTTGGTTCCCACTCCTGACTACAAGCGAAGCATAGCAAAACATAAGGACTGAAATTATGTAATGATACAGTTTAAGATTCAGACGAAGATACAGAATGAACGCAACTGTGCCACTGTCATGTATTAATCTGTACGTCCGTACCGTTTCGCAAACTACTTCAACGCCAACTAGGGTCGCATTCCTACAATTGAAGAACATATTGAACTCAAAACAACTTTCAACCAATATCAAAGTGAGAATCTTCAATACCAACGTTAGGGCAGTTCTACTGTATGGAGCTGAAACTTGGAGAACTACAACAACCACCATCAAAAATATACAATTATTTATAAATAGTTGTCTACGCAAGATACTCAACATCCATTGGCCGGATACCATCAGCAACAGCCTTTTGTGGGCGAGAACAAACCAGCTTCCAGCTGAAGAAATTAGGAAAAGACGATGGAAATGGATAGGACATACATTACGCAAATCATCAAACTGCATCACGAGGCAAGCCCTAACTTGGAATCCTGAAGGGAAGCGGAAAAGAGGAAGGCCAAAGAACACATTATGTCGGATAATAGAAGCAGATGTGAAAAGGATGAATAACAACTGGAAGGAGCTGGAAAGGATTGCCCAGGACAGGGTTGGATGGAGAATGCTGGTGAGCGGCCTATGATTCTTCACGAGCAGTAGCAGGCGTAAGTGAGTAAGTAAGTAAGGTCATCTTTGGTTTGAGAAGCCCAGTTTGATTGTCTTGAGGTTCTTAAGTGAAATACAAAGTGTTAGATACAGTCTTAAAAGCAAAACTCGATTGTCACTGCTTAAATAGTAACAAACTAATCCTATTTAAGCAATGACAATCGAGTTTTTTTTTTAAGACCGTAACTAATCAGCCCCCAAATGTTCTGGTACGGCAAAGGGTGGGGAAAGTCAGCTCTCCCTCTGGAAATGATCACACATGGCCACGCGTATACAGCCACCGTCCAGGAAGTCCTACTCATTGCACTGCCGTGGCCGGGTGTTGTTTACAAAATTGAGAGGACGACAAGCGAATGTCCAGCGCTCTAATTGGGTAGGTGGATATGAAACATCTACCTAGGAGTTGGAGAACCCTAATTCCAAACCAATAGTGCACATGGGCTCCAGTATCCTGCGGGAACAAATGGCGTATGAACCAATCGTTGGTCACCAGCTACCATGGGACTGCATCTAATGACGTTGCTCAAGTGCCTTGTGGATCAGACCTTTAGGTCAAAGGCTCGGGGTGTGGCCACCTAAGGAAACCACCTGCTTCTGTCCGGGCACCCGGGCAGTATATGTATTTGGTGCCCCTTTGTACTAATATTTGTGTTGAAATAAACAAATAAGCTGATCCACAAGGATACAATAATTATGAAGCACATCCTCTGATCTTCCTTGGTAATTAATGGGACATCGAATTTCAGGTATAATACATGAAACAACGTTGTACTATACCAAGTGTTGGTATTTTACCGTTACCCGATTGCTTAAACAAAACGATACTGTATACAAACAAAATCGGTGAATTGTCACAAACCTGTTTTACGTAGTTTAAGTACCTCACCTTTGATTCTTTCTTCGAATGTTTTCCGACCACATTCCGGCACTTGACGTTTCGGATGTGGATAAACACCCGGCTCAAGTATGGGTGGGACATAACTCTTTCTCATCAAGTAATACCGAACAGGTATAAAGAAAGTACCCCTTGAGCACGTGATCAGGTTAGAAGACAGCATTATACATTAGACTAGTAATCCGCACAAACAAGTACAAGAATTCAAAGATTATTTGAATACACTTTGGGAAATTGGAGTAAAAGAGACTATAAGCTCCTGAAAAATATCAGAACATGAAGAATAGATAAAACGTGTATATGTTCCGAACATTTAACAATTACAAATTAAAAGCAAATAAATTTATACGCAATTGACTATATTTGGTCATATGGGTATGGATAAAAACTTTAAAACGCATGAACAGTTTACCAGCCTTTAAGAAATCTCAAGACCTATTTTTTAACTTGGCTTCGAACTTGATATGGACAACGGGACGCGTGGACCTTCATGCAACAGGACACACAGGAATCGGTCAAACAAACTCAAATAATCATATAAAGGCTTAGTCATCATCATAATATAACAGTGCAACATAAAGCTGACTTAATTAGGATCAAGAGACTTCAAGGTAATGGGGCACATACCAAACAAGGATGTTGACCATTAACTGTAACAACTTGGAGGACAAATTAGACGAGTTATACAGCCAAGAACGAACGAAATACTCATAGCGCAAAGCTCCCCCAAACGAGTAATCAACTCTTGAAAACCATTACCGGCATAAGTGTTGTCTAACTTCAAATGGCTGATTGAAAAACACAATGTATTTTAGGGTTATTTTTAAGACAATGACTATAAGTGAGTTAGAGTTCACAGCCTGGGATAGAAATATATGTAATAACTAATAGCAAATCCTACTACTAACTGAAAACCCGATGGCTAAGAGCCATATGCCAACTGAGTAAGTTAATTACGGTGAATCTATCCCTTGGTAACAATATTCATTCAAAATTGTCGTACGGAAGATCGAAATATTAGAAAGTCGGTGAAGAAACTATACTGTGACTAAACACCAGTGAAATAGCCCCACTTCAATCAGAGTAGCTATTTTAGAGAAATTAAAAATATCCTACTGAAACCGAGAGAATACTGCAGAAAATTTAGAGCCCATGTACACAAATTTACATAAAAATTGGGAGAAAAAAATTAGCATTTTCCTTCTAACCTTGCAAGTAAGCTCGTATTTGAGTAACTATTTAAGACAGCCGAAAAACTACTGACTCGATAGTGTACAATCCAAGTGACAATCTGGCCGAGACCAAGGCCACAATTATTCGTTCAGTGTCCAATATTTTTTATAAAGTCCTCAAATGACTTTGGTGTTAAGAACGACATGATACTTTCACTCTCATACATCATAGGCCTTCATTATCGAGGTTTAACGAATCCAGGAAACATATGGACAACTAATAATGAGTGGAGCTAGAAGTCGAAGTCAAATATGTAAACGTACTAAGTATAAATGTTGGGTGAAGTAAAAGTAGACACGGGATAAAAGCTAACCTCAGACTGTAGTTTGTATGCCTTTAAGAGGCCTACATACTTCAGAAAACACCGAACTGTGTGTAGCGATGTGTATGGTACGTTTTTGTCTGTCCTTAAGTTGAAAAAACCTCGGTGTTACACCCTTCGGTGGTCGAACTATAGCTAGCAGTATGTAAGTTTGCATATTTCACCCTTTTACGACTAACATAATTTTCTGTCCATTTATTCAGTAGTAATACGGCGTTAAATACTCCTGAGGGTAGTTCGACCAATTTTGCCGATACTTCTCGTCAAACAATCCAATCTCAAAGGTTCTTGATATAAGATGGATTTGAAGGTGACTCAAAACTTCTCCAGCATAAAGAAGGAGTGTAATTCTGACATTTTCAGATGACATGTATTCATGTTGTTTACCTGCAAAGCAAGCATCCCGTTTTCCTGTAATCTATACTGGTCACAATGCCTTGCAGCTGCTGAATCTAGGACAACAGATGATTGTTGTTACCAATGAAATGTATGTCTATCCTAGTTATACATATACTTAGACCACCGTCAAGGGATCTGAGTTATATTGACATTTTTTTACGAAGAAGTGATATCAAGTTCACCTTTTGCGTTACTAATCTTCTAACAAAATATTCAATGACCTCTAATAACTTCTCATATTCCTAGCAACATGGGAAGGTAGACCGACATTGCTAATGGGTATGAAGATGATATAGGTATTCAGTGTTTGACAACGCTTTTATCAGCAACACCTTCTGATATTATTTGTACCCACCAAGAGAAATCAAAAGACAGAGTCGAGGAGATCGGAAAAGTGTATTTGGCGATTACCAATATATAGGAATTCTTTGATCTAATCTGGCTAGCGATTGCGATAGATGTTGAGCACAGCGTTACCACACGTGATCTGGTACAGATGTATGACCGAGCGCCTTCAGCTAGATGAGTCCACTAAAACATATGGTCAGCATCCAGTGTCGAAAACTTACAGAGCTATTTATTTTGGGGATTTACTTACCCCTACAGGTATATATGCTTAGAGAAAGTTTGTGCATTACCGTATGTGAGAAGCTCACTGTGTATACCGAAGACATCAACAAAAATCAGTCATATCACCCCCTGAAGCCTAAAACCATAAATAAGAATGGTAATAATAGGTTTCTCACTCCACACCCTACCTACATTCCCCAGGATCGCAACTGTAATTACTTTCAGAAAGAAAACTTCTCATACCCTTTAGTACCGACCCATCACATAACAACGGCTCCCATGTATAACAACAGTCGTAACTCCTCCCAGTTACGCGTAGCAGACCCCTCTCACGCTAACGTAAATAGTCATAAAGGGGGCCACGAGTCTAATCATCAAGACTATTTTGTAAATAACCATACACTTCACAGTAGGCCTGTACAAGAATTTTTTGGAATAAGACCCCTAGTGACACCTCTGTTGAAGCATATAGCCCAGGTTATTTCAAACCACATGCAAACCATAAATTTGTTTTCTCCGTACAGTTTCCATCACAAAGTACTCCCACCCTTTCCTCCTGGGTAAACTCCCCAATCCACTTCACTAGCTCATTTGATACATCTCCCACTAAGTCTAGCTATCAAAATACCTAGCTAATGAAGAACATCCAATCCCCCATTTCAAACTCATCTCACACCCGCGAGGGTTACGGTGACTTTAACTGAGATACCCTCACCCATTTTAACTTAGTAGGCCACTTGCTTTGTAGTGGCTGTGCTTCGTTAATTAATCACCCTCGAACCGTTATCGTACAATCTTCAACGATATATGAAATCAGAAGGCGAAAAGAAGCAGCTACTACAGTTTTATTTAGTAGATAATTCGGACCAGACAGCAGAGAGGCAAAATGAATGAGCAAGCGAACTACGATTGAAGCAGTAGTGAGTAGCTGTAGTCAATGCGTGCAAAATGTACAGGTATATATATGTATAGGAAAATAGGTGAGTCAGCGAATAGATTAAGCAGTTAATAATGAAGCTAGCAGAATGAATACATGCGTAGGCGCTAAACAATGTTCAAGCATATGTATTTCATACAAGCATAGTAATAAAGATAGTACAACAAGTTGTTATATCATTGATGACTTTGTCCATTAAATAAGTTAACAAAAGGGCTTAACTGAGTTAAATGAGAATAAACCCATTTGCACGTGAGTTGCTATAATAGCTCTCCCCTGCAAACAAAGATATATGGAAAATGTCTGTGTTTGCACACAAAAATAGTAGACTGAATAGGGTAGTTACAATTGTTTGAAAAAAAGGCTTATACAAAATTAAGATGAAGTTAGAGTGTGTGCTGTACATTTGGTTTGCGCCCGTCCGTGAGGTTACATAAAATAATAGCAAGAATAGAAGGAATGCGGTATTGTCTTAACATTTTAAACAAAAATTATACGTATAAGTTTAAGGGTACATAAGATACGTTGAGTTTTATAGCGTATAACATGAGCCTAATAATGCATGTGTATACAATGAAGTAGAAGTTATAATTAATATTCCGAATAGCAGATTATTATTAATAGAAAATTGTAGCAACATAATGTTGGGGCCATCTTACTCTGCGGCCAGATCTTGTTGTTATCGGAGTCTCGTTTTTTTGTTGAGTTAACGTTGTTGATTTTTGGAACTGACGTTTCGATGATTCAACGGTTTTCGCAGTATCTGTATGTACTGGCTGATCGTAGGCTTCGATGAAAGCTGGTTTGACTCGGTCGATGCTAATTACATCCGTTTTTCCAGCTTTGTCTACCGTAATAGTTTTGTCGTCTCTTTTAATCACCTTAAATGGACCATCGTAGGCCGGTTGTAAGGGACGTTGCACATTATCCCTTCTGATAAACACATGTGTATTGTCACTTAGTTGTTTGGGTATGTACACACGGCGTTGATGTTGTCTCGGAAGCGTTATCCTTAGACTACTCATATGCTGCTTAAGACGCTGTACATAGTCGGCTATATCAGTTGGAACGCTTTTACCTGCGGTGAAAAACTCTCCTGGCAGACGTAGTGTGGTTCCATAAACCAATTCTGCTGGGCAGCATTCTATATCTTGTTTGATTGTTGATCTTAAGCTCAACATGACTAACGGTAGCTTGCTAGCCCAATCATTATTGCTGATGACAGCTGTAAGGGAGGCTTTAAGTTGCCGATGCAATCTCTCTACCATACCATTCGACATCGGGTGGTAGGATGTTGTGCGAATTCGTTTGATTCCGAGTAGTTCTGTGAGTTGTTGGAAGAGGCGGCTCTCGAATTGAGCTCCTCTATCGGTTGTAATATTAGTAGGTACGCCATAATGGGAGATCCATTGCTCTACTTGGGTTTTTGCGATAGTTTCGGCTGTAATATCTTTTATGGGAACAGCTACAGGCCATCGTGTGAATCTATCAATGCAAGTGAAAATGTAACTGAAGCCGTTGGAAACCGGCAGTGGTCCTATAATATCGATATGTATGTGCTCGAATCTGTTATCGGGATGGCGGAAATGACCTACTGCGGAACCGGTGTGGCGATGTATCTTAACTCTTTGGCATTTTACACACGCTTGCGTCCAATTACGAATATCCCGATTCATACTTGGCCATACAAAACGTTCGCTGATTAGTTTGATGGTGGCCTTTATTCCGGGATGTGAAATATTGTGCATGGCTTCGAAAATGTTTCGCCTTAGCGGTTTTGGAATAAATGGTCTTGGTTGACCTATAGAAATATCGCAGGTGATGCTTACTTCTTCCAATGGAGTTTCTTTGAGAACTAACGAGGTTGTATTGGCAGACTTTAGTCTGTTTAACTCGACGTCGATATTTTGTAATGCTGCTAACTTGTGATAATCGATTTCGGACTGGACGAGAGCGTTGACCATCGTTCTGGATAGTGCGTCTGCCACTTCGTTGCTATTGCCTTTGATATACTGAATGTCAGACGTGAACTGTGAAATGAACTCTAATTGTCGGATCTCTCTCGGGGAATAATTGTCTTGCTTTGCGCTTAATGCTTTCGTTAGTGGTTTGTGGTCTGTATAGACGGTAAAATTTATGCCTTCGACCATATGACGGAAGTGTTTTATCGCTAAGTAGATTGCTAAGAGTTCTCTTCCGAAGGTACTATATCTTGTTTGTGTTGGATTCAGTCTTTTCGAAAAAAATGAGAGCGGTTCCCATGTGCCATTAACTAATTGTTGTAAAACGGCTCCTACCGCTACGTCTGAAGCATCCGACATGATAGCCAACGGTGTGTCGCTCTTTCGTCTAGTTAGCGTCATTTCTTTATTTAGTGCTTTTTTAACATGCTCGAATGCTTGAATCGCTTCTGATGATAATTGGAATGTGCGCGTGTGTCCGCGTAACGCATCTGTTAATGGCTGCAATATTGATGCACAGTTTGGAATAAATCGTCTGTAATAGTTTATTAACCCGAGAAATCTGCGTAACTTTTTCCATGAATCGGGTAGGGGATAATTCTTAATGGCCTCGACTTCTTTTGCTATTGGTGTGATGCCTTGCGAAGTTATATTGTGACCTAGGAACTGTAAAGATTCTTTTCCAAATTCACACTTCTAAATATTTATAGAAATGCCGTGTTCCCTGAGTCGCATAAATAATTGCCGTAGTTGTTGTATATGCTCATCTTTAGTGGTGCTAGCTACTAATAAATCGTCGATATACGCGTATACCCCAGGTAAACCTCTAATGACCTGGTCTATAAACCGCTGAAAGGTTTGTGCCGCGTTAGTCAGTCCAAAAGGCATACGCAGGAATTCA